ATTGAAAAATAGTATACTATTACTTACTATAAATGCCACAACAACAATTAGAATCTTTATATAAAAAGATGTAGTACACACACACACAGAAATCAATATACTAAGAGGAGGACATAGGATACAGTAATAGAGGAAGAGCACTGCCTAAACGACTAACTAGGCACATCCTAGTTTTATAAAAGGCAAAGCAAATTTGCTTCTTGGAGAAAGACTATAAAAAAAATATGGCTACATTCCCTATTCAATCTAACACTTTAAAGACATTCAACAATGAAGAAAATGTCACCCACCCACCCACCATATGATAAATATAAAATTGTAAAACTTTATTATTACAAAATGATTATAAATCTCCATCATGAGTGGAATTTAAGAAGCAAGCGAAGTAGTAGAAAGGGAAAAAGTTGGTACCTGAGTGACTAGTCAAGCTGCTGTGCCACCATGCACCTTTCCAATCATTCTGCGCACTAGAATCATTCGCTGATTGAAAACAAAATAGAAAGGTGTAGCACCAAAACAATTAAAATATGAAGCAAAAACTTGCACAACCTTGGTTACTGTAACTTAATATAAATGCAGATTCCACCCACCAGCTGGAATCCTTAATATTATAATTTGAAACTAAATGCAGGTCCAATCCAAGGAGTTTGAGTGAGATAAAATAATTTTAGTCAATTTATGCACAGAAACAAAAGCTCAATTGGATCATACATACCTGAAGGACCAATACCATCTAAGTATCTGCAGTGAGGATTCCATGCATAAACATCAACCAAATGACCAAACCTGTTGAGTAGTAGCAATAAACATAAGCTTAACTTGTAAACTAGCGCAATAATATTAGTTAGACTGGTGGACATGCTTTAGTACAAGGGAGAGAAGTAAGTATTGGCATTACCTGTCTCCCCCATTCCCCGCAGTGTTATCAACTGGATTGCCTCCATACAGCCGCCCTGGAATAGCATTTCCTATTGAGAAGTGCATTATGTCAACTTCGTGGCCATGGCAAGTCTTGCTTGAGCAAGTATCCGATTCTTGTTCACACCCACCCATCTTACAAGGTATACATTTCTCAGATCATAATGCTAATAATATGCAGTTGATAAGTAAAGAAAGAGAGGAAGTGGAGAAAAGGCTACTCTACTCAGTACTCACTCTATGATAAGTTGCATTATCCCCAATTGGGAACATGAGAGCTACAGAAGGGCATTTTGTATTGTCCCTGCAGCATAAAATCAAACACAAGGGTCTGATTAGATCATGTCTATCAGAAACTGAAACTCTAGACAAACCAAACCAAGTTATTCTTAAATCCCAGGCAGGCACAGCGATAACTTTGTTCTAATCTAGTAATCTCTCTCCTAGATTACATATAATTCAATAATTCATTCATTCACACCCGTCAGTATAAGCATAATTCCCGTCGACTTGCAACATAAAGAATACATCTTTCCCATCGTGCAGCGCCTACAAACAAAATGGTGTGTGAGAAATTAAATAGGTAAGAGAGAAATCGAGATCTAGAAATCGAAAAAAGAATCGTCAAAGGCATCTTATTATTATTATTATTATTCCAATAATGAAGTGATGTAGGTACCTTGATGGTCATCTTGCCGCCATTGTACTCCTCATCAGCATCTGGGTCTAACGCGGGCAAAAGCGGAAACTGAGACCCAGCAACGTCCTTCCAATCATCGACATGGCCGTCGAGGGTGATTATCCCGGGTCGGAACTGGGCCTGGAGTCGGATCTCGGGGTTGGAATCGCAGCTCCAGTCGCCGGACTCTTGGTGAGAGCTCACTTGTGCTACACCAGCTAAGCTCAATAATGATAGAACCGCGAGTGCAGGAAACATGGGTGGGTACATGGAGGGAAGAAGACGAAGAAGAAAATTCAAGAAACGAGACTTATTAGAGTGGGAAAATGTTAAATAGACGACTTTTCTTTCGTAAGTCCGCCAATTTTGACTTGTGAAAAGCTAAGGAACGGTTTATAATTGTTACGGACTTACGGAGTATTTTAAATTGGGGAGAAGTGTCAAATAGGCCTATGTACTATTATTGTCAAGTGTTCAATTTTCACTATGAACTAAATTAAATGCTAATTAATGAACAGATACTACAATGTAATAGAGCCAGTAACTTTCAAAAAAAAATTAAATGCTAATTAATCACATTTACCTACTAAATTTGTTCAATTAATTTTTTTTTACAGGTAATTGACTTTTTTTTTTTGCAGGTTACCAATTCAATTATTAAAAAAATAATTTCAAAATAATTTAAAATTTATTAAAAAAAATAAAAATACAGCCACTGCCCACTGGCTGTCCGGCGAGAACAGCCGGTGGCTGTATTCTTTTTATTTTTTATTTTTTTTTAAATTTTATTATATTTTATTTATTTATTTTAATAATTAAATAGGTAATCTGTTATTAACCTGTAAAAAAAATTAATTGAACAAATTTAACTCGTAGATGGACCTATTTGACACTTAATTTAGTTCGTGGTAAAAATTAAGCACTTCGCAGTCGTTAATGGGCCTATTTGACACTTGTGCCTTTAAATTGGGATAGAAAATTATTACACGTACTACTACACTTGTGCAGTATAATACTACTACTATTACTTTGTCATTGTTTGCAAATAAAAGTAAGTTTGTATATATATGGTAAAATAGTTAGCCTCTTAATTTTGATTTATTTGACCACTATTAGCTGTTTGATTTGGTTAAATAATCTATATGAGTATTTGATTAATTAATTTTTTTTTTTGTAATAATTTCTTTTCAAAATGTTAAAATTTAAAAGAAGAACTGTTCAAAATTACTTTTTTTAAAAATCACTTTGTATGTAATCAGCTAACCACTAACAACTAATTTACCATTAACTTTTCTACAATCGACTAATACTATCAATTAGTTAAATCCACTAACCAAACCAGTTAGCAGTCATTTACCAAACACCTCATATTGATAAAAAGAATAGTTTTATGTCCATCTTGTTTGAACCGTGCGATTTGTTAGAGTATCTCCAACCCACTCTACTCCAAAACACCAAATATTTTCACCAAATGTCACATCAGAAGGAATATTCTCAACATATTCTCACACCAAATTTATTCATCTCCAACCCATTTTTACCAAAACACCAAACTTTTACACTAAAATAATTTTATTTTTTAACTTTAATTAGTTTAATATAATTTATTTCGAACTTACTTAGTTTAATATAAAATATAACTTGTGATGTAAATAATAATTTTTATTAACATTAATTTTTTTATAAAATTAATTATTTTAAAAAATCGAATTTAACATTTTTTAAAATTTAATTTATTCCACAATAATAATATAGCATACAACATCTAGTACATTTAATTATCGAAATTACTAAATCATTTCAACAAATGCTCAATCAATGCATTACAGAGTATTTTATTATATTTTTTCAAAATTGTGTTGTATTTTCTAGTATTAAATATTATGTCGTATTAAAACACAAAGAACCAATAACGCCTCCACTAAGGCTTGAACTCGTAACCTTCCAAATGGAAGTCCAACCTGGGTACCATTAGACCACATAGTCTTAGTTATTATGTTCTAGTTATGTTTGATGTATTTGAAATTTTAATTAATATATATTCAATATTAGTCTTGTTTCGATCGTCTCAATGAGATCTTTAAAATTGTATAATTTTAATTTAATTATACAAACTTTAAATATAAGTATTTAACAAACTAAAACATTACATATAAAACAAATAATTGATACATTTGGAATTATAAAAAGAAGTAAGGACAAAAGAGTCATTTCCCCCTCCATTTTAGATTTGCCGCGGATGAATAGTGCAGCGCCACACTGTTCATTAACGCCAAACATTTTGGCGTTATGCCGCAATGCAATCTCCCTTTGGAGCACCCCAATTTGCATATTTGGTGTTTTGCAGTCAAATTTTGCAGTTTTACAGTCAAATTTTGCAGTTTTACAGTCCACATTGGAGATGCTCCTAGGGCATCCCAATAGGTTTTTTTTAAAACAAAAGTTTATTAAGCAAAAGAATTAAAATTTCTTACAACTGATGGTCCAAAAGTGACCATAACACATACTCAGCCCTTGGGATTGGGCCTATACTAATATAAAGAAACTAAAATAAATGATGGACTCAAGCCCTAGGCCAGACCTAAAGAATGAAAGAATAAAATAATGGACTCAAACCCAACTAATAGGCCAGATCAAAGGAATAATAAATGAAGAAAAATAAAAAAAATAATAGGGGTGCTGAAATGGAGGAGAATCCCCCTATCGGCGTCGCACCAATTTTCGCAAAAATAGCAGCATAATGACTGTTTTTAAGAGAATAGCTGCACCTGCGTGCTACCATGTACTAGTGCGTCACCATGCCGCCCAATAGGGGTTTCATTCATGAATTTTAGAATAGTAAAATCCCCTTTGCTAAGTTTTGGACAAATGGAAGGAGTAGATTTTGTGGATATTTTTCTCATGCAAGGAGGAAAACTTCTGTCAGCTTTATGTCATTTCACTCATTTGTGTGGGTCCTACGAAGAAAATAAGAAAGGAGCAAGGCTTGGATGGAAGAAATTAAAGTGTGGGTCTCACGATCTAATTTGCTGACATTTGATTTATTTATTTTTTAAACCCCCCTTATCTATTTTCTCTTTTTTAATTATACTTACAAAAAACTCTTCAAAATCCACACCAAAATCTTCACAATTGAGGATGCCCTTATGAATACGTATTGTTATTGATGTGATGTGATAGATGAATAGGTAGGGGCATTGGGCATATTACATACAATACATACATACATATATATATATATATATATATATATATATATATATATATATATATATATATAAAATTGAATTGATACACCGTATAGTAGCAGCTATTGGATGGCTATTGGCTATTGCAAATACAAGTTTTTTTTTTTTTTTTTGAAAAGATTGCAAATACAAGTTAGAAACAAAAAAAAAAAAAAAAAAGCAATTAAGATCCGATCCAGGAGCGTAATCGAAGCGGGTAGCTGGTAGTTACATGAGTGGAGTATATACAATTTGTACCTTAGCTCCTCCATTACATACATATTACATATTACATATCATCATCATCATCATCAGGTCATAGAATTGAAGTAGAAGGAGGAGGAGGATGAGGATGAGGTTAAATGAATTAAATCTGACAATATATTTATATATATATATATATATATATATATATATATATATATATATATATATATATGCATGTTACCTCCCAGTCCCTGATGTTTGTGAAAATGCACTGGCTTCAAACCCATCGTCGCTCCCAAGGCTCAAGGTATTTCTGTGCATAGCCATGAGGCTGTGTTGATCAATTACGGCTTCCTCTTCTCCTTCATTGGGATTACTGGGAGATGCTTTGGGCTTGTTTCTCTTATTATCCCCCCCGGAGTTTGGGTTGTCTTGCTGTTGTTGAAGTGCAAACTCCAGGTTCCACAGCACGTCTCCCATGGAAGGCCTGTCCGTCCCGTGATCCGACAAGCATTTCACCGCCGTCTCTGAGAATTTCTTCAGGCTTTCTGCTTTGATCTCTGGTTTTATCTGAGGGTCCACTATCTCCTCTAACGTCCCCTTCCGGTAGCAACTCAACGCCCAATCCGCAAGACTAACCTGCTCCTTGGGAAGACTTGGGTTCAATGCCGGCCTGGAGCACAATACCTCGAAAAGAACAACCCCGAATGAATAAACGTCTGATTTCTCTGTGAGTTGTTGCCTTCTGAAATACTCAGGATCCAGGTATCCGAAGCTGCCCTTCACCACTGTACTCACGTGCCCTTTGTTCATGTCTGGACCCGTCTTCGACAGCCCGAAATCTGAAACCTTAGCCACCCACTTTTCGTCCAAAAGAATGTTGGTGGTCTTCACGTCCCTGTGAATGATTGTGTATTTTGCCCCTGTATGCAGGTAATGCAGTCCCCTGGCAGCACCGATGCATAATTCTAGCCTCTGCTTCCAACACAAATCAGAACTGCTGCTCTTATTACCGCTACCCCCCTTGTTTGTGTAGAGATGTTCTCTTAAGGTTCCCCGTCCCATGTAGTCGTATACCAATGCCATTTCATTATCTTCCTCGCAGAAGCCAATCAACGACACCAGATGCCGGTGTCTTAGCTTCGACAACATCTCAACTTCTGTTTGGAATTCATGCACTCCTTGCTCCGACGACGGATTCGATCTCTTGATCGCCACTTTCACCTCTCCCCCGTCTATCACCCCTTTGTACACCTTCCCGAACCCTCCCACCCCAATCACATTTGACTCGTCAAAATTCTTGGTGGCTTGTTTGATTTCCGCCAGCGAGAAATACCTGCAGTTAGATGCGGCGTCTGAGGAAATGGTGGTCCCGCTGTGACTCCTGGTGGAAGCCCCCCGAGAATTCCCGTAAACTGGGAGCCAGCTAGTTGTATCTCCTCCGGGCACTCTCTTCTTTCTGTTATACGCAACTAAGCACAAGGCCGCGGCCAGACCAAACGCGGCTGCTCCTCCCGTAGCTCCGCCTATCACGGCCGTGTTGAATGCATCAGAGTTGGCGTATCGGACTTGCTGATCCTCTTCTAGCCGATACTTCCTCATCATCGCTGACATTGCGGGATTAGGAGCCGACAGGGTCTTTGCAGCGTTGGAGATTTTGAATATCTCAATCCCGCTGAGATAAGCGTCGGCGTAGTAAGACGAGGCTTCAGAGGATGGATGCAGAGCTATCCAGAGCAGATCTCTAGCAGGGTCGTCATCATCGTTACCGCCCCGGTCTTTGACGTTCACTACGTAATCTCTTATCACGGGGACCCCAAGTCGATTGTTCGCTATAGCAACCGGATCGATTTTTTCATCGGCTGTTCGGTTATTCAAGAACATGGTAAAAACTACCTCGTTGGGCCTGGTGATGTTCATCATGGTGTCGCACCAATGGAACCTCATAAGATAGGCGTAATTGAGATCCACCCGAAATGCCCAGGTGAGGTTATACTTGGTGTTGAGATCGCTATTGGGACCCATGGACCTGTATGAACTGTAGACATCAGCGGGTGCGACGTAGGTGGGCATATCTTGGTAGTCCACCTTTCTGAAACCTCCGCCGGTTACACCTCCGGTACCTGCATACAGGAAAGGACTATCATCGTACCAGTTACGCATTAGGCCGCCGGAATCATTGGTGGGAAGAATGTATTGACCCCCGACGTTGATCCTGTACATCGTCTCTAGTTGTTTATCGGCCACGGACAGGGTCTGATCCAGAAACCCAGCCATGAAAATGTTGCCAATGCCAAATATATCGGGAGATGCGATGAGCTCGATAGCGTTGACAAAGGCGAAGGAGTCGTTGGAGTCGTCGGAGGGTTTGAAGGTGAGTTCCATGTTGGGGACGGGGGTTAGAAAATATTCCTTCATGATATAGACCTGAGTGAGGGCCTCGGCGGTGAGGTAAGCACTGAAGTTTTTGAGCAGAGTAACAGAGCCCACGGATACATCGAAATATGATTTGGAAATATCGACGCCGGGATAGGTGGATGGGTAGAAATAAAGCCTGAGCAAAGTCCGATTGGCGGAGGCGGAGACTTGGGTGGGGAATTTGTAGGAGCCTTTTGCCTTGAAAATTCTAGCAGACATATACGGAATGACGGAAGGAAGCGATGGGTCTTGAATCTCAGCGGTGGCTGCCGCTCCTTTATCACCGGATCCCAAATATTTAGCATCGGGTTTCCATTTGCGCCCCGCCTCTTCGTCAACCCCACCCTTCGCAGACCCGCATGCCAAAAGCAAGTGTTTGGATTTCGCCGCCGCCGCCGCCGCCGCACATACGCTGGAATAAAACAACAACAACAATAAAACACCACCCCTCCTCCCGCTTCTTTGCATACTTGCGGGCGGCTGGCAGGCAGGCAGGCAGGCGTTGCAGATTATTGGGGATATATATATATATATATATATATGATAGAATCAAGCAATCAATCCAAACGCAATATTAATATTAATATCAATATCAATATTAATATTAATGGCGTACAGGAACAAAACAAACACTATATATGGAGTATGCAATGGACGATCCCCGCCGGCCTGTACGCCTATCTCTCAAGTTCTCCTATCCCCCCAAGGCTATATATGTATAAGTATATATTATATTATATGTATATTATTATTTTGCTGTTTTTAGCCTTTCTGTGTTCAACATCCATGGAAGGAAGGGTTCAAGGAGATGATGATGATGATGAGGCGACAGGGAAAGGGGGAAATTTCTCGCGTTTTCCAATCTTTAGCCTTTCTTCCTCCTCTGAATTGGGGCATCAGGTTGTTACCCATGAACGGACAAGAGTAAATATTGCACCTTTCATTCATTTTTTTACTTATATATTTATTGTATACGTACAAAATTATTAATTATGTCAGGCTATGTAGTATCAAGTATGTATGCCACTCCTCCTGGCTCCTACCTTCCTTCTTGCTTAATGTTTTGTCTGCTGATCAGATTTGGTTGACTAATATGAGTTTTGCACTTGCTTTCAAAATATAAATAAATTTATTAGTTATTATTTCTTTTTTACTTTGTTATCTTCACATCATAATCAAACTCATAACCTTCCAGTATTGAAATTAAGTTCTACACACTCGTCCACCACTTCCAAGCCGTCTCCTTTATTTATATACTTCATGTGTATTACAGTTAGGCTTATATTGAAAATTTTAATAGGGCATGCTTGATTTTTTTTCACAAATTAAATTCTTTAAAAAACTAATTTATGCATACTTTTTTTTTTTTTTGGGGGGGGGGGGGGGGGGGGGGGGGTGAAATTTAGCTAAACCCAACAAAATGACAAATTTAATCAACTCAATGCATGAAATAGTATAAAACCCAATTTGATTTAGTACTACAGTTAAGTAATGGTGAGCAATGTTGACAATAACTTTTAAATCTAGTCCGATAGCCATTGATCAATAAGATAGTCCGCTACATGTGGACGTTTTTCTTTAGCCGGTACATGAAGGATAAGCAGTATGCATGCCAGTCTCTCGGCATGTGTCCCCTTCAATCTCATTGGTTATGTGTAGTATAAGTTCTAAATTTCCATCACTATCCGTTCATCAATTTTTTTTTCTAAATGTTGTAGGGTAAACTATACTTGCTAGGAAGTCATTTATTATAATTGTTGTATACAAGAATTGTTAGCAAATTAATTAAAGATTTTTTTTATTAGAGTTAATGAATATTTCTAGTCCTTCGATATTCACCTTATGATATCTCCAAGTTAATATAAGCCTTCCATGGTAATCTTGGCATGTCCAATACAAGTTGGTCAGTTGCAAAGTCAAAAAGAGCCATCATTCTAGATTGCTCATATCTAAAAGACGGTCATGATTGTTGTTCTTAGACCGTCGTGGTTGTCCTCGCCGGACAACTCGAGTTGTTGTGAATAAGACAATCACAAGAAATTATTCTAACCAACGATAGTATTTTTTTATAAAAAAAAATAAATAAATAAAGAAATTTAAAAAAAAACGCGTACTAAACAAGTCAATTTGAACTCAATAGAATAATTTTTTGGCATTTTTTTCCAAAAACAAAAAGATAAAAATCGACTAAAGAATATGGAAAACCAAGGCCGCTTAAAGAACCAAAAGGTGGCATCTGGAATTCTGGATTCTGGAATAAAACACCAATATTTTACAAACATTTATTCCATCTTTAAAATACAAGCTACTCCGTATATATAATATATTAACCTTCTGGTAGCATCTACTTAACTAAACTTTCTGATCATCTCCATCACCCACAAACACTTTTTGCAGCATACCCTGCAGCCTGCAGGTAACCCTTTTAATTTGGCCTGATTATATTTTTCTTTAATTTGCCGCTATCTTTTCAATACTCCATGACTCCATGTCTGTTTTCTTCCCTTTTTTTTTTTTTTTTTTTTTTTTTTTTTTTGTTGTTGTTAAGAAATTTTTTGTGGCTCAGGAACTGTTGTAGTGGGTAAACATCCATTTCTTACCCACTTTAATATCCTGTGATTAATTGGATATGTTTGTAATTTTGTATATATATACTGTTTGATGAAATGTCTGATAGGACTCTACACCAAAGTTCAACTTACATCCAACTACATATAATTGTTTTACGATACCACCAAGAATGATGATATGATTTTCCCAAAGCATTTTGTTGTTTTGACTTGATGCAGACTGATTAAATATAGACGACCTTAACATTCTTGCTGCTCATGGAAACAGACATGGATACTAAGAAGGTAATTTGAAAACCATTTTTTAAGTCTTTTGTAATTTATACTATGTGCTTTTATACTATGAGTACTGCTATATAGGATTTGTCAAAAGACAATTGTCTAGGTATCAAATATAGTTTTTGTTGGATGAAAGAGTGCATAAGGCCGCTGACTTGATAACTATAAGATTTCAAGTTCGACTCTCGGTCTATTGGCTTATCGGTTTGAGCTAGTGAGTTATGTGAAACCTAGTTGTTGGCTAGGGTCACAAGGCGGGGTTTACCCAGTGCATACCCTCGAGCAGTAGCTGCGGATTTCCCTCGTCACTCAAATATAGTGTTTATTGGATGAAAGAGTGCATAACTGCATATGCAGTGTGTTTCCGAAGATGGCAATTATATACAATTCATTCTTGATTTTCTGATCTGTTTTCTGCTATTACAACCTCGATCACCTTGTCAAATGCTCAATACATATAAAATTTAGAAACTGTCACTTGTCAATGACAAGTTGAAGTTATAGCTATCCTAAGCAAGAATTGGCATGGGTTGAGATTTGAGAATTCACGTTTTGATTGTATATTGTAATTCCTTCTTCTATCTAGCGAGCCATATGCATCCCCCGCTTAAGCTATAGGAATGGAATGCTTTCCACTTCATTCTTGATAGTATGTCTGACAATGAACGTTTATATTGCTTAACAACTATAGTTTAAAAGACTCTGAATAAACCGATGATGACTGTAACCCTGTAAAAGGAGGAAAGATTGCTTCTTTAATCATCCACAATTGTAACTTGGTGATGCTTATAATTGTACAGGAAGGTGATCTGTGCCCGTTGCCAGATAAGAAGGTCAAAGTTGTTTTCGTTGTAGGTGGGTAATTCCTAGAGTTTTTTTTGGCTTCGACGCCTAGCCAATGAAGATAGTTAGGCGGTTATAGTTGTCTATACCTTATAGTTAGTTTCTTGATTATTTGGTTTGGCAGGAGGTCCTGGCAGTGGAAAAGGCACTCAATCGGAGAAAATCGTTCAGCATTTTGGATATACTCATCTAAGCGTCGGTGATCTACTTAGAGCAGAAAGCAAAACGGGTTCTGAAATCGGGTGAGTTGTTGAATGACTTATCCATTTCATCTTCCCGAGTGTAAAATGTTACTTATTCTGCAGATCAGTGATTCAGAACATTATGAAGGAAGGTAAACTCGTTCCTTCAGATGTAACAGTTAAGCTTCTGCAACGCGCCATGCAAGAAACTGATAGCCACAAGTTCCTGATCGATGGCTTCCCAAGAAACATGGAGAACGTTACAACATTCGAGAACATTGTATTAGTTTCTTGCCTAACTGAGTTGCAGCTTGTAGATTAAACCAATAGCACAAATTATATTATTTGTTACCTCAAAATTGGCCCAGTTTCTGGTTTCTGTTGATTCGTGATGCTTTTGCTGTAGACACAAATCGAGCCAGAATGTGTGATCTTTCTTGATTGTCCAGAAGAGGAAATGGAGAGGCGCCTTCTGTCTAGGAATGAGGTAAACTTCGTCAACCATTTTCAACTTATATGGTAAACTAATGACTGTGGAGACATTATTTTTTGTTCCACAACCAATGGTGCAGGGAAGAGCAGACGATAACATTGACACAATAAGGAAACGATTCAAAGTTTTCCAAGAGTCGACGCTCCCAGCAGTTGAATATTATGCTTCAAAGGGGAAAGTCCACAAGGTAACTGCATTCTATCTCTGAGAACTTAAACTTCTTGCTAGACAATTGGAGTTCGGGTTAAGAAATTCTTAATACGACGAATTAGCAGATTGATGGCGCAAGGCCTGTGGAGGAGGTTTTTGAATCGGTTAAAGCGATTCTTACCCAAACAGAAGAAAGGCGAAACACTATACCATATTTACAGGTTTGATGTGTTTTCAGACATTCAGAGCATGATGTGTTGTGTCATAATTTTCAGCTCCTCACCTTCAGTCAGTCCACTTAGGATTAGTTACAAGTAATGGTGTTAATAAGCTGATAGCTATATCTTGTAATATATCAGTGTACTTCCTTCTACATGTTTGTACATGTATTTCAGTAGGTGGGTTATTCACCTAGCATATAAAATCGTGTTTACATCAATTGTTTAATTTTTCAAAATTTTTTAAAAAGAAAATGTAGAATTTTTCTCTATTTCGTAAACAAGAATCAACATTATATTTGCTTCCAAGTTCCAGCGGTATAAATTTTGGAGGTCTGGATTAGATTCTTTTGTGTGTAAAACTGTAGAAGTGTATATTTTTATTTTATTTTTTCAAAAAAAAAAACTTTATTAATCAAAGGGATTAAAAGGATTTACTTACTGAGTCCTCAAGAAGGGCAAATTATTGTGTGGACCATGGTCCACACAATTTTATATGGATCATAACAAAAAGTACATTTTTAATATATTAAATATACATTATTTTTGTACTGAATGTACATTATACAATATAATGTGCACTCAGAACAAAAATAATATACATCCCTTAAATATAATGTATATTATTTTTGTACTGAATCTACATTATTTTACAGTAGACAAAATATGGTCCATACAACTTGTATGGACCATGGTCCACACAATAATGATTGCTTAAGAAGGGACCTATACTAATTTAGAGGAACATAAACAAAGAATGGACCCAAGCTTAAGTAACAGGCCAGGTCTAAAGTATGAAAGAAATAAAAGAATGGACGCAAACTCAAATAATAGGTCAGGTCTAAACATAAATAAAATAATAATAATAAAATAGTTGCAGAAATGGAGATGCAGAATCCTCCTCCAAACTTCAGGTCTATCAGTAGCAGTTGGAAGCCTGACAACATAACGTATGTCACCCCATGGACTATATATAGGAGCCCCAAAAGATCAAACAACTGCCAAACAGAACAAAGATGGCATGCATGCCTGAAAAATGGCACGCAGGCCAACCAGTAGCGATAAAGTCTCATATGCCCAAACAATGACACAACACCAACTCAGTAATCAGAACCCTAACGAGATTAGCTACTATGGGCCAACAGCAAGCCTGGACAAACCGCCAACGGATTTAAAGAGCCCCTACCCGGTCACCGTTCAGCCTGGGCCAGAATGTAATTTCTTACCACTTGCACCAACATTGAGGCATGATCTGTTCAAAGAATACCCACAAAGGCCAAATCAAATGAAGCAACAGGCCAATGAAATCTCAAAGGCCAAGAAAATATTCAAGCAAGCAACCAATTAGACCATAAATTGTCTTTTGAATATTGATTTTTACTAATTTTCGTTCTCAATTTTTAATATGACCATAAATGATTCATTGATTTTTTATTTTGTTCCAAATTTGGTCATTTAGTTAAATATTTATTTAATAAACATTAAATTAAGAATAATAATGTAAAAATTAATTATTATTTTTTTGGATAGACAAATTAAGTTCATCATTGTGAAGAACTACAAATTTTACGTTATTATTTTTAAATTTAATATTTATTAAAGTGATATTTAACTAGAGAATTCAATCTTAAAAATTCAATAATCAAAGGACTATATATATAATTAAATTAGAAATCAAAGATAAAAATTGATAAAATTTTATAATTAAGAAACCATTTATAATATAATTGAAAATATAAAAATTGATAAACGACAATAGTTAATGCCATTATAGAATTAACTATGTTTAAAAGAGCAAATACCAATTTTAATCGTATGAGTATTAACAAAATAACAATTTTGGTCCACATATTTAATTCTTATAAATTTTTATTTACAAGTACTATTTTAGTATCAATTTTCATGTACGACTATTTTTTTAGTGTCAAAATTCATCACACCGATCATTCATTCTTTTAAGACATGTTGAAATCTAAAATTTCAAGAGTATTTTCGTCTTTTATAACTTAAGATCTTAATTTGAGCATAAATAAAGGGATTTAAACTATAAGATCAATCCTAATTTGTAGTTTTTGCCCTCAAATTAAGGTAGGATGATGAGGAGAAGTGCGAATTGAGATCGATATTAGGGCTTAAATTTCTTTATTTATGTTTAAATTGGAATCTTAATTTAAAAATGATGAAAATATTTAATAATTTTATATTTTAGCATGTCTTAATTATGAATGCCTAATTTTAATACTAAAATAATAATTGTGGATGAAAATTAATACTAAAATAATAACCGTGTGAAAATTTGTAAGAATGAAACATGTGAATCAGAATTGATTGATGTTTTCTCATTTCTAAAATCACACCGCCTCCCGCAGTCCGCTCTCCCCTGCGAATCTGCGCACTTAAAATCGGAATCCCTAAGACGGCAAATTTTACAATTCAAAGACCAGAGACCACAGCACTTGAACGAATACAAAGCCACGAAGGTATTCCTCCGATTCTTGATTTTTTTTTAAAAAAATAAAAATTTGAACTTGATTTTTTGATTTCGTTATTTGACTCTTGATTTCTGATTTCTTGATTCTTGATTTTTTTTTTCTTTTTTAATGTTTGAACTGTTTCTGTCTTTGAATGTTGAACTTTTCCCTTGAAGCTTGAACATTGAAGTTGACAATGGAATTTTTGAACATCGAATTTGGCAATGGAATTTTTGAACATTGAACTGATTGCTTGAGTGTTCGAGTCTAGGCCGAGTTAAGCACTGGAAATTTATTCCTAACTCAGTATTTTGCTCACACCTTTGGCTGCATCTTTCCCAGCTCTACATCAATTAGATGCCTAGTTTTGTGAATAGGTAGGTACATTTAATGTCCACTTGCTCAAGGAAAGTTCTCTAAGTCCCTCTTGTATTAAAGATAAACTTCAATTTAACAAAAATATGTTTAATTTTCTTTATGTAACATTAATTAGTATGTAAAGCTGTCTCATGGGCAATTAACTAATATTGTCATTGTTCATAAGAATATTTTTAAACAATCCATTTTAATGTTTATGGGGTTTATTTCATTGTTTCTAGAATTCTTTTACAGTTGGGGAATGCGGACTAGTTTGTAAGATTGGAATTTATAGGCAAATATTTTAGTGAGGAACATATGGCCTTATATTTTCTTACCCCCAAAGTAATGAGCTTTTATGTGTGTGTGCAAGGCATGATACATTGTTATATGTGTCATAATATCAGGTTATTTTGATTAGTACTTTTGTTTATGGATAAATCGGAGAAGCTGACGGTGAATATTTGCCTCTCACGTATCATATATGTTATTGACACGTTTGAACCTGATGTTGGTGTGCAATGGGCACTAGAAAATTAGGATGTTGGGAATTGGGGTTCCTAAACTGAACTTTTTCAAACCGAACCAAACTACAATGTTAAACCGAATGGTTTCATTTTTTATGACCTAACAAACCAAAACCAAAAAAAAAACAAACGGAATACTGAAATGCCCACCCCTACTTTTTTAGTGCCAAATTGAGCTCTCTCTCCGGAAAACTGTATAGTTTTCTCCATGGGGTTGAAATAGCATGTAATTTACTTGCTCCTAATGGATATTGGTACTTCACTGATGTTTTTTTTTTTTAAAATGTTTATGTCCTAGGTTCCATTGCTTTCCAAATTCCAATAGTTCCCCTTTCTGAAAATAAAATCTCTCTTCTCATTAATTCTCTGCTTGTTTTTAAAGGGCATAATGCTATCTAGAAGTTTAAGTTTGTGTTGATTCATTCTGTTGCAATTATGTGTATTACAAGAAATCACTGTTTCCATGTTTTTTGGTAAATAGTAAATTTCTCTTTTCACATTTTCATCGTTTTATGCAGAGGAAATTCTCATCATGAATAAATTTGAAAAATTCCTTATGTAAACACTAGTATTTTCTTGATATATGTTGAATCATTACTCACTTAGTTATCTGTTGATTTTCTTTTGCAAATTATGTACTCCGTCTATTTTTGACATTGTAACAGAGTATCTACGAGATTACCAGCTTTGAACTTATAATTATTATTATTGTTATTTTTTTTAGTTTTTTTTTTTATGGTTCAAACATAAGTTTTATATTTTATTTTGGACTCTAAATTCTATCAAGTTTGTGTTATTTATGTATGGATAGATCAATTTATATTTATAATTGTAGCATTGGAGTTCAATAGGTTGAACTCGAGCTTGAAAGTTCAAGCAATCTGACTAGAGCTCGAGCTAAAAAATTCGATCTCAATTCGAGCCAATCGAGTCGAGTTCCGGATCGGACTCGAGCTCGAGCTCGTACACTTGAGCCAATTGAACCGAGCTTGAGCTATATGAAAATTAGTGAGCCAAACTCGAGCTTAAATTTTAAAGTTTGATCGAGCTTGAGCTCGAGCCACCATATATTTATCGAAAATGATGCGATTCAACTGTCCAAAAGCTGTGTGTTTTTGGGAGAACTGTTGATCTCCCAGCTTGTTTAGAGGATGCAATATGTTTCTTTGTCACATAAGACAACATAATTTTCATAGCATGTAGTTAGATTTGAGCTCTATGACTGTTTGATTTTGGTTGAACTATATATGTTTATATATAAAACTTCGAGTATTGATTAGATCTGTTTTACTTGTTGAACTAATGTTAATTTGTAAATTCACTTCACCAGGGTGCCATTCTTCCTGTGTATGTGATATATATTCTTCTGCTAGCTTCCAATGGCCGAGGAACCTGAGAAAGCTAATTCTGAAGACCCTCAACAGACAGGTTTTCATCTCCTCTTCTATCAATTTTTTTTTTTTTTTAATTGTCAAGATTTTCACATAATTCAAGTCTGTATGTTCTCATTAATGCTCATTAGTGTTAGCAACACTTAATGAAGATCAAATTATAAATGTTAGAAATATCTGAGACAAGGAAAGTATTTTTGGTGTGTTTATGCTGCATAGTTTTTTTTTGTTAATCCTCCCCTTACATTTGCTAATCTGCCTTGAAACTTTTTTTAGTTTGCAGTTTCTTCAGAAAGCCATCAAAGGCCAAAAACATCAGAAAACGTACTGCCATTGAAGAAGGTGAGAATGAAGATGGAGATCCAAAAGACGAGACTTCGGTAGTATTTAATAAGAAGAAGCCAGCAGTTGCTGACAACAAGCTGCACTTTTCTACTGGGCCCTCAAAGCGGGAGATGACCTCGGAATCTGATGCAGATTCGAAAAAACCTCTTTTTCAGTTTGAGTCCTCGAGGGAGATTCAGGTTCAGACTGATAATAAAGCAACTGCTACGCTGGAAACTGAGACTGAGTTCTCAAAAGATGCCCGGGCAATTAGGGAGCGAGTTCTCAAGCGAGCAGAAGAGGCATTGAAAGGGAAAAATGACAACACTGCGGATGAGAAATTGTATAAGGGGATACATGGATATACTGACTACAAGGCAGGTTTCCGGAGAGAGCACACAATTTCCAGTGAGAAAGCTGGTGGATCACATGGTCCTCTTAGAGCTTCTGCTCACATTAGAGTTTCTGCCAGGTTTGACTATCAGCCAGATATCTGTAAGGACTACAAAGAAACTGGATATTGTGGCTATGGAGACTCGTGCAAGTTTATGCATGATCGAGGGGATTATAAGTCAGGATGGCAGCTGGAGAAGGAGTGGGATGAAGCAGAGAAAGCCAAGAAGAGAAGAATGGAAATGGGAATGCTCGATGATGAAGAAAGTGCAGAGCAGAGTGATGATGATGACGATGATGCGCTGCCCTTTGCATGTTTCATCTGTAGGCAACCTTTTGTTGACCCCGTTATGACAAAGTGCAAGCACTACTTCTGTGAGCATTGTGCATTAAAGGTAAGCCCTTTATATTTTTCAGAATATATCTAATGGGATGGGATGGGATTTGAACAAGGGTAGAGCAAGTTAACTCCAATGTAAGACTATATATTGTCTTTCAACATAACATGATTACAATTAATTGCTGCTTGGGGGTAATCCCAGCCAAGATAGCTAAGCATACAAACCCGTAACCACAAGGTCACGGGTGAATCTCAACCTTCTTGGTTTGAGTCGGTTAGCTATGGGTAACCTGGGCTGGTTTACCTCATTGTGGTCCTTTGCTGGCTAGGATCACAAGGCGGGGTTTACCTAGTTCACACACTGGGTTTTCCTCGTCACCCAAAAAAATTAATTGTTGCTCTGCCTGCTCGTGCTATATAGTGTATTGGGTTTTGAGCTAGAGTCATTGGGAGGATTCAGTTAATGAAATAGCTTACTCAAATGCATCTAATTGCACGTCAGAGCAGGTTTGCAATACAAGCACTAACAATTCATGCTGCTATTTGTTTACGACTCAAAATGCTATTCTATCTTAGCGTTCTATTTTGTTGGAGTGCTGTGTGTTTGTATATCTGCTAGCATGAGTTTGTTTTCATACATGAGCTTTAATTTTATGCATAGTGACTTACTTGGTTTGTCCCTCCTGTCTACTTTTTTCATTAAGAATTACTCTGTTTAAGTTTAAAATAATTAATCCATCTTTACTTTTGTGCTTCTCAGCATCATGCGAAAAATAAGAAGTGCTTCGTATGCAATCAGCCTACCCTCGGGATATTCAATACTGCTTTTGAGATACGCAAGAAGATGGCTGCTGAAGGAAAATGAGGTCCTTGCCATTTTTCTTCTATTAACTGTGGTAATTTGTATTAAGTTTAGTAATTTACTAACTTTGAGTCTTGATGTTACTAACTTTGGGCCGGGATAGACAATGCAACAAATATAAACATAAATTCTGAAATTTGTTGCTCAAGAAACCACACCATAGTAAAGCTTTCTTATCTAGGCACCTGTGATCAAAATGCACATGTAAAAAGAAAGCATCAACATTATACTTGTCACTATGCATTGATTATTTTTGCACTGTCTGGAAAACTTCTTGGGAGAATTCTATCTTTCTACTATTTACATAACCAATCATCTTTGTTCTCATACATGTTTTGGGTAATGAATCTCTTGTTAAAGTGTATTGGCCTTGAGGTTGAAGTGTATTGATCAACAAAATGACTTCATGATAAATCCTTTGCAATTAATTTGATTCTTCAGAGTATATATGCCTGGGATCCATCCAGCTAATTTGTACTGAGCTTCTGAGAAGGAATTGGCTTTGAGAACTTCTCCTTGTTTCTTCCATGGGAAAGCTTTCCAACCAACGAACATCTATCAAAGTGCCCACCCACTGTAGGTTGGGAGCAGGGTGAGTGGAGTTGAGAAGTGGATTTAGTCACCTCCGACTTATTTTTGGGGTGACGAGAGAAAGTCGCAGTCACTATCCAAGGGTGTGCATTAGATAAATTTCGTCTTGTGACTTCAGCTGGTAATAAATTACAAAGAGTTAATATAAACCTAGGTTTTCCATAACTAACCGGTTCAAGATAGAAAATTTTGAAGAGCGCTGGAAATATCACCAGTCAAGGGAGGAAAATACCATCAAACAAATTGGAATACAGATTGAAGTATGAAGGCATTGCTCAATTAAAAATATGTTTTTCTTTTACTATACTTCGTGTCTTATTTCTTTCATGGGAGAAGTCCACCAAATCCCCTTGCACTTGGTTATATTTTTAATACAGGGTAGTACTTTGTCGGATAGTGAAAATAATAAGAAATGTGAGTATTCTTAATTTTGTTGAATTACAAAATTGTACTGCTTGTTGAGTATACCTTTGTTTGATAACATACCTTGTCATTTAGAATATTTTCTCAATAAGGTTTGGAAGATTTAAAATGAAGATTACTTCTAAGGTGATTAACGACTCGTGATTCATGAATGAAGTCTTCAATTTCTATCTTTAGTGTTATGTTACTTTTCAAAAAATGTTATATGTTTAGAAGTTATAAGTGAATCTATGTTAGTTGCCTGAAGTAAATATGTTGTGAATATTTGATGATGATGACCCCTCATCAATTGAGTAAATAGGTTTTAGAAATCTGCAATGATCTCACTATCTATGCACTTATTTGGTATTTAAATCTCCACATGATTGTTGAGTGGCATTATAATTTAATGTGTATGTTTTTTCTATTTTGAACATATACGATTGCATATACTTTTGAATGCTCTATATGTTGTGATTCTTTTAAAATATTTAAGACTCAAATTCTTTTAAATTATGGCATGAGCGATTGGATCACTTTGGGCAAACATAATGAGCCAAATATTTTATAAATCTTGTTGGACATCAGGTATATGTAAACAGTAGAATTTCTTAAATAAATATTTTATAAGGCATGTGTGAATGAAAAATTACTAAATTATCTATTTTAGAGACATTGAACTTGATATAATACTGTTTTGAATCTAAATGTGGCACACTGCATATCATGATTATTTTACTATACACCTAGTACGTGGTAGAATTGAACATTTCCCCATCTGCGTTTTAACATTAGTATGTCGTTTATATTTATAATATTACCACCAAAGTTTATCTCTAAGGGCTATCAATTCAAACATGTTGGTTATAAATCCCTGTTTGTTGTAAAAATACTTAGTGCCCATGATAGGTGATAGCGTAAATAGTATCGGTCTGCGTTTCGAATACGTATGTCGTGAACAAGTAAAAGAGGGTGCTCGGTCAGTTTACCGAGTGACGATTGATCGGTCCGATGTTGTATTACAAGTAACGAGCGATTACAAATAAAGTAGATTGCAATGTAAAGTAAATCACAAGTGGTGTGATGTTATAAGTAATGGGTTGTTAAAATGAGATGAATATGACAAAGGAGGGGGAAAGACCCTCCTATTTATACTAAGTAAGTCGACTATGCATTTAATGCCTCCACATGCAAGTGGCCTAACGTGGTGCCTTCTTGTTGGCTTGGTTAAACGGTCACCCCGCAACTACGTGTAGGTTGACTGTTAGAGGTGACGGAGCCGTAATTCCTGCAAGTTGTCAGCCGCCCTACCTGCAAACGATAATGGGCTTCCTTCACTTGTAGTGTAAGCTAAACTTTCTAGCTTGCGGAGTGCATCACACTGTAGGCCGACTGAGTAACCTACGACTGACCGTCTAAGTGGTGCTCCTTTAGGTCTTAAAGACCAACATCTAGACTCTTTTTGCAACACATGAATGCATACATAATTACATATTATGTACTATTTCCCTCACTAGTTTTTTTCATTGAATTTTTCTAGTATGATTTTTAACCAGGCATGAGTATGATGATATAGCAATGCCAAAAGGGAAGAGTTGCAAATAAATATTTAATAGACAAACATCAAAATCCTGAAAATTATGCATGAAAGCTTATGGTTGTACTATTTTTTATTTTTTATTTATTTAACTAAGTTTTTTTTTTTTTCACAAGGATTTCTTACAGCAATTATATTGTGGACCGCGGTCCAAAAACGGCGCTGTTTCTTTAAGTAATGAAATGGTGCACTGTTACAGTTAACGGAGTGCGCATGTTTTGTGGATTAATTACCTACTGAAACTACAATGTATATAAACTGACACTGCCTCACGTATTATTTTTATATTATCAAATGAAACTGCAATTGAATTGAAATGAAACTGTGGTTGTGTTGAAATGAAACTGTAGTATATATAAAATGAAACTGAATAACATTTCACATATTTGAGTGTATATTGTGCAATGAAATTATAGTTATATCGAAATGATAATGTAGTTGTGTTTTAATGAAACTATACTGTATATAAAATAAAATTAAATAACATTTTCACATATTTGAGTGTATAAATATCGAAAGAAAATGTAGTTATATCGAAATGAAACTGTAGTTGTGTTCAAGTGAAACATACAAAATGAAACTGAATAATAGGGTTACTTTTTTTGCGGAACAGCGCGGAACGACGCGAAACGGGTGCGATTTCTTTTCATTAAACAAACCGATGTCGTTTAGAAGCTCGGTCCATAATCCATTATGGACCGCGGTCCACGATATAATTTATCGTTTTCTTAGGGTAAGGTTTTTAATGAGGCAACCGAATAATTACTTATATATCGTGTAGTAGTTTCTCGTCTAAATTTTTCTCACAAAATTTTTCTAGCAAGTTTTTAATGAGAAATGATTATTGTGAAATAATGTTCGAGAGAAGTGTTATAAATACAATTTATGGTAAATATTATGGGTATTGATTATGTAATGGTCGTAATAATAGAAGATTACGTTTACCATTATTAACTTCCGTTATAAATGTACATATATATTGTTGTAATATGTAAAAATTAAGAATGAATGAAATATTCATCTCCTTTTCCATTCTTCTCCATATTGCTTGTTAAGACTTAATTTTTTATATTTTATTTTTCCACTTTTTAGTTTACAATTTTGAGAAAATTTCAATTTTGGTCCTATGACTATAGGGGCCTTGTTAATTTTAGTCTCTGAGTTTTAAAAGTGTCAATTTAGTACCTTAACTATGCAATTTTTGTCAATTTTGGTCACTCCGGCCAAATTGTCGGCCAAATTCCGCCGAAAAATTTTAATTGTTAAAATAATGAGGGTATTTCGATCATTTCACGTCTCTTTTCTTCTTCCCAGGCGAGTCTATCCCTTCCTCTCTTGTTTCCGGCGAATGCAATGAACTAAGATGATGGGGAAAAGAGGTTTGATGATATTAAAAATAGGCTTTACAGGAAAAAAGAAGGTCGGAAACGGGAGATAAAGGGATAGACTCGCCGGAGAAGTAGAAAAGAGGCGTGAAACGACTAAAATATTATCATTATTTTAATTATTAAAATTTTTCGACGAAATTTGGTCGAAGTGACCAAAATTGACAAAAATGCACAGTTAAGGTACTAAATTGACACTTTTAAAAGTCAAGAACTAAAATTAACAAGACCCCTATACTCATATGACTAAAATTGAAATTTCCTCTTACAATTTTTTATATTTTATTTTTCCACTTCTTCAATTTTCAATTTTTCTGAAAAGTTCTCCAATTCTTTACTCTGGAAAACAACCCTGACTCTTTCCTGACTATTTCCTGAGTGCTGTTTGAAAGCTTAATTACTCCGTATTATTATTGTCAAAGTGAAAACCTCATCCTGATTCCTGATCCCAACCCCTCTCAATGGCCTCTTCAACTCCGCCACCGCACTGCGCTCTCACCACCTCTAAATCCTATCAAAACCATAACCTCCACCATATCCAGAACAACCTCCAACCAAACCGCCGCCACCCCAACCACCACCGCGGCACCTCTCACAAGGTCTCTTTAAGTCGTCCCCCAAACCCAAAAAATGCTTCGTCCGGCCACACCGCCGCCGCCGCCGCCGCCGCCTACCCTTCTTTCTCTTCCTCCTCTTTTACACCAGAACTCGGCGCTGACTTCTCCGGCCGCCGCTCTACCCGCTTCGTCTCCAAAATGCACTTTGGTCGCCCCAAGATTACTGGCGCTGCCAGCCGCCATACCCCCGCCGCTGATGATGCTCTTGAGGAGGTGCTTCGCTTTGCCGGCGATGATTGTGCATTACATACACTGTTCCTCTCTTTCGGCTCCAAGCTCTGCGGCACCGATGATTATATATTCTTGCTACGGGAGCTCGGAAATCGGGGCCAATGGTCAATGGGCTTGAGATGCTTCGAGTTCGCTATTCGCCGGGAAAGAAGGCGCAATGAGCAAGGTAAGTTAGCCAGCTCAATGATTAGTATTCTAGGGAGACTGGGAAAAGTTGATTTGGCAGAGAAAGTGTTTGAAAATGCAGTAAATGAGGGGTATGGTAATACTGTTTATGCTTATTCTGCTTTGATTAGTGCTTACGCCAAGAGTGGTTGCTGTGATGAGGCCATTAGGGTATTCGGGGCAATGAAAGACTCGGGCTTGAGGCCAAATTTAGTAACTTACAATGCTTTGATCGATGCTTGCTGTAAGGGAGGTGCTGACTTTAAAAGGGCTTTGGAGATTTTTGATGAATTGTTAAGAAATGGGGTTCAACCGGATAGGATAACCTATAATTCGCTGCTTGCGGTTTGTAGTGGTGCAGGCTTGTGGGAGACTGCCAGGCGTTTGTTTAGTGAGATGATTTATAGAGGTATTGAGCAGGACATTTATACATACAATACGCTGTTGGATGCTGCTTGTAATGTGGGGCAAATTGATGTTGCTCTGGAGATTATGTCTGAGATGCCTGCAAAGAATATTTTGCCAAATGAAGTGACTTATAGCACTATGATTCGTGGGTGTGCCAAGGTGGGAAAATTTGATAGAGCCTTGGGCTTATTTAAAGAGATGAAGAGCAAAGGTATAAAGGCAGATAGGGTATCTTATAACACTTTACTTGCTATATATGCTAGCCTTGGTAGATTCGAGGATGCATTAGATGTCAGTAAGGAGATGGAGGGCATGGGGATAAAGAAGGATGTTGTCACTTATAATGCCCTTCTGGATGGGTTTGCCAAACAAGGGATGTATAATAAGGTTAAGGAGTTCTTTGCCAAAATGAAAGAAGAAAATCTTTCACCAAACTTGCTAACATACTCAACATTAATTAGTGTGTACTTCAAAGGAGGTTTATATCAGGAGGCTGTGGAGGTTTATAAGGAGTTTAAGCAACAAGACCTGAAGGCAGATGTTGTTTTCTATAGTAAACTTATTGATTCCCTGTGTAAGAAGGGTCATGTTGAGTCTGCTTCTTTGTTGATTGATGAGATGATGAAGGAGGGAATACTACCAAATGTTGTTACATATAATTCTATAATCAATGCCTTTGGTTTGGATGCAAGCATTGAATGTTGTTCATTGGATGGTGTCACCAAGGTTGAATCCTCCTCAACAACTGTGGTTTCCAGAGAAGTTAAGACAATGAGGAGGGGGGATGATAGAGAGGAATCGGATGACTGCATCATAAAGATCTTCAAACAGTTAGCTACTGGCAAATCTGTCAACTTAAATAATGGAAAAACTTACAGACAGGACTTACTTTGTGTATTGGGAATTTTCCATAAGATGCATGAATTGGAAATAAAACCAAATGTTGTCACCTTTTCAGCAATCTTGAATGCTTGCAGGTATTACTTTCTCTTTCCATTTGTCAATTTTCTACAGCCCAATAGCCTAATCTGATCATCTTTTCCTTTGTAGGGATTATTTATAGTCTTCCTCTCCCTATGCTCTTATATGCTTTCTTTACTGATGCTCTAGCTTACTCTGACAGTAGGCAGAATTTGGTTTTGTAAATATTTGTGTCATCAATTTGCTTTATACATATACTCCGTATTATATCCACTTAAGGATGTTGTGCTTTTAGGGTGCCAAAATCACATTTACTTAACTGATAATCCAATATGATACTTTGTTCTATATATCCATGTCCATCTCTTTCCAGTTATGGATGGATAATTAATTAATTTATTTGAGCTTTTCGATCTGTTGCTGCAGCCGTTGTAGTTCATTTGAAGAAGCATCATTGTTGTTGGAGGAACTCCGAATATTTGATAATCATGTTTATGGAGTGGCACATGGACTTCTCATGGGTCATTGTGAAGATGTATGGGTGCAAGCTCTATCTCTTTTTGATGAGGTGAAGCAGATGGACTCCTCAACTGCATCTGCGTTCTATAATGCTTTGACTGACATGCTGTGGCATTTTGGTCAGGTATAGTATAGCTAAATTTAAAATTCATTTGTATTTGTATTAGACCATAATGTTAATGCCCATGAGTTCCATTCTCATCTCAAACAGCAATCTAAGACAATGCAGGACTTGTTCTTACGTATGAAGGAAGTCAGTATATTATTAAAGTAAATTTAGTTTTAAGAATGTTAATTAGCTGCCTTAGCTTTCAGTTACTTTCTGCCATAAGGCGTACTAGCTATCTAGGATTAATTTAGTCTTGATTTCCTGTGAATAAAGGTGGTTTCAATGCCATACTTGTGGGGCAATCATGAAAAGAAAAGGAAATTTCTTTTTGGAATTCGAAGTTATTTTTGAATGACATAGGAGGGTTGTGGTTTAAATGTTGAGCGTTAACCCATATTGTTTCTATCTTCTCCTGAAAAAGAGGCTGTATTTAAGCAAAACATCTTTAATGAATTGGATTATTCTCCTGCAGGGCAGTGGTGCTTTCTGCATACATAGTATCATGCAAATCATTTATTTCTTTCTTATATATATGTATATCCATCTGATCTGTTTGCAGAGACGGGGTGCACAATTGGTTGTGCTAGAAGGTAAACGTCGGAATGTGTGGGAAAATACGTGGTCCAATTCATGCTTGGATCTGCATTTGATGTCTTCGGGGGCTGCACGCGCTATGGTGCATGCGTGGCTGCTTAGCATACGCACCATTGTTTTTGAAGGGAATGAGCTACCAAAGTGGTTGAGGTATGTTTTGTTTTGCTTATTTAAAAGTGATTGAAAGTGAGAGGGGAGGAGGATGATATATAATTAGAGTGAACATGCATGCAATGCAGCATTTTGACAGGATGGGGTAAGCACAGCAAGGTAATGGGAGATGGGGCGCTTAAGCGTGCCATTGAAGCGCTGCTCAACAGCATTGGAGCTCCTTTTGAGATAGCAAAGTGTAATATCGGGAGGTTTGTATCATCGGGGGCTGTGGTGGCAGCCTGGTTGAAGGAATCAGGCACACTCAAGGTGCTGCTGCTTCAGGATGACAGGACACCACCGCCGGAAACCGCCACATCCACATCCACATTTAATAATTGCATTCCAATTTCATAGCCTAGCCCAGGTCCCGTTGTTGTTGTATCATCATATCCATGACATGGTGTTTGCTTTTTTTTTTTTTTGATAAGTATAGGCCTAGCCTAGCCCTAGTCCCTTAGGAATTCGGTTTTCGGGTCTTTCTCCGTTCGTCTTACGGTCTAAGTCCACTCAATTAATCTCCGCTTGCTCCGAGAGGCATAGGAACTGGCCTAGGGGGAATCGAACTTGGGTTATCTCAAAATTCTTCTCCACAAAGAGATCTCATTTGTCATTTGAGCTATCTCATTGGGTTAAATTCGGTTTCCTTTTGTATACTAAGTTCTCCTGTATATATACCCCTTCCATCTTCCAAGGGTGTGTGAAACGGGCCTCGAAATTCTGAAGGCTGGCAAGTATAACTGAAATTATTGCTTTGAGTCTCTTTGCTTTTCTTTACTCAATTTTATGCGTGTCTGCACTTCATTTTTAATAATTGTGTAGGTTAACCGTTGATTACTCGTGAATTGTAAAACCAACCGTATGTATGTGCTCCGATAGAGGATCGATCTAATAATAGCTAGCTAAGTATTTTAATTTGTTTGAAAATAAAATACTCCGGTCCATGGCTATGCATATGTTTTGATCGAAGTCTGATCTGATCCATTAAAAAATGTAACTACATAAAAGAAAAGAAAAAAAGAAAAAGAAAAAAAAAAAAAAAGAGTACCTATGGTGAGGGGGGTTACACTCCATTAATTAATATATATATACAAGTCCATTAACTGTACATTTTACACATAAATTAAAGCTATATATATATATATAGATATATAGATAGAGTATTGATGTTGTTGCTTGCACGGCACATACATATAATGTTGAGAAGATTTTAATTAGCATTGGGTGGCCTGGGTACTTAGTTAGGGATGGAGTTGAGGTTAATTAGAATAGGACTAGTGCTCACCGCTACTAAACCCGTGACTTGATTGCTGTCCAGAGGATTGGGAAGTGGCAGCGGAGTCGAAATCGGTTTTCCCTGCCACAGCATTCATGTTTAGATCATCCAAAGACGCATCACCTTCCAATGCACGTACTATTTGGCTCATTTTTGGACGTCTCCTTCCAGAGTGCCTAATACACGCACCAGCACAAATCACCATGCGTTTCATCTCTTGCGGATTATAATTCTTCTCCAACCGTGGATCCACCACTTCTTCAAAGCTTCCACCATCTGCAGCACGCGTCAGAAATGGCCTAGCCTGCATGCACCATATATATATATATATATGCACACTCACACTCACACTCACATAATATATATATATTGCAACGTAACCAAATATAATCCAACTAATTAACTTACCCAGTCCACTAGCGTGTCCTCATCATCATTATTTATATCAATGGGCCGTCGTCCAGTTATGAGTTCCAACAGCATTACTCCATAAGAGTAAACGTCAGATTTCTCTGTCAGTTTGCCGCTAGATGCATACTCCGGAGCCAAGTATCTGCATGCATCATATGTATATATATCCGCCCATCATTCAAACTTAATAATTACTATATATGCATTATATTAATTAATTTAATAATGCGGGCATTCTATTCATGCACTGCACCCAAATGTTCCCATGATTCGTGTCGACACATGAGTGTTGTTGTCGTTAGAGAGTTTAGCCAATCCAAAATCAGCCACCTAAACGTAAAATTAATAAAATGTATATAAGTATATATGTTGCAAGTGAAGTGAAGTAGTATATATGTATCTATACTACCGTACGTACCTTTGCATCAAAATTATGGTCCAGTAGAATATTTGCAGCTTTTATATCTCTGTGTATAATGCGAGGGTGGCCTGGGCGCATGCAGTAGAAATTAAATTGAATTATAAATGGAAAGAAGAAGGAATATCTAGCTATCAGACTTGACTTACAATCTTCATGTAGGTAAGCAAAGCCTTTGGCGGAGCCGAGAGCAATTTTAAGCCTTGTTGGAAAGTCCATAATTGGAGAGGGTTTTCCATGAAGGTGATATTCAAGAGTGTTGTTGGTAACAAACTCATATACCAACATCCTCTGAGATCCAGCAATGCAATACCCAACCAAAGACACAAGGTGGCGATGGTGCACTCGACTGATGATCTCAACCTCAGCCTGAAATTCTCGCTCTCCTTGTCCACTATTAGATTTTAGACTCTTTACTGCAACCTCCTTACCGTTTGGGAATACACCTTTATGTACATACCCGAACCCACCTTGACCCAATAAGTTAGACTGAGAAAACCCTCCTGTTGCGGCTGCCAGGTCATTATAACTGAAGCTGCTCTGGTTAAAACCACCCAGAGGAGGCGGAGGAGGAGGTGCCATTGCTTGACCACCGTGTGGACCTGATGATGAGAAAGCTGCAGAGCTCATATCACTACTACTCATCATTGGTGGTGGCGGTGGAGGAGGACCCATTGCCCACCCATATTCTGAACTCATAACACCGCTGGGTGGCATTTGCATTTGCATTTGCATATGCGGAGGCATATTAACAAAATGCGCCTGCTCACCCGAATATTGCCCATTATTATTCTGCCAATTTCCATTCTGTCCACCTGCAGCTTGTTGATAGTACCCACCTGTACGTAACGTACGTATATAATGTAAACATATCTCATCTATATATGACTATCTAGCTTCCGAATGATGAAATAAAATTAATTAATTACCTCCACCACCTCCATGACCATGAGACGCGTCGTTATAGTAGTTCATTTGACCATATTTCTTTTGCTTTCGCCTTTTACTTCTACGGCAGCAAGAGATGAGGAACACGATCAAAATAAGAAGCAAAAGTCCTGCTCCTGCTGCAACTCCTGCAATCATGGCTTTCTCATTATCTGAGAGTCCCTTGTCCGATGAATTCTTCTTCGATTTTTGCTTTCCTGATGAGGGATTCAGTGAAGAGGGTTGAGGATATGATGAATCCCCATTATCCCCATCTGATGACGACTGAGACTGAGGAAGTTGATCAGGGGAAGCATCATTATTAGAGCTGCTGCTGCTGCTGCTTTGGCTTGAATCAGGTCCTGGGGATGATGATGATGATGAGGAAGAATCGACGTCATCAGGTGGAGATGATGATGATGATGAGGAAGAATCGACGTCAGCGGGTGGAGATGATGATGATGAGTCGTCTGCCGATGATGATTGGGGAGGTACAGATTCCTGAAGCGAAGACCCCTCCATTTGCAGACGTAGTAGTCTTCGCCACAATCTACCTGGACACGACTAACTTATCGCACCCTACCAATCTCCCAAAAAGTCACCTCTGCAGATCGATCAACGACGATATATATATTTATATATTTATATATATATCGATCAGATCAGATCATATTGAATGCACGCACTATATACACACACACACACACGATTTATTATCAAAACAACCTACAACATGCATATATGCATCAAGAAATTATTAAAAGTAATATATCTAATTAAAACATATCAGAATACCCTGATCGATATGCATGCATGAACGATATGATTCAGTTGCATGCATGGACCGGGGGAGGGGAGAAAGAAAAAAGACGATAAACGTAACAATAAAATGTTGATACCTTTAGGAGAAGGGCGGGAAAGATTTTCAGAGAAAGAAACAACTATGTTGTAGCATGGGTGAATGTATAGTTTCAGGAAACAAGTTTAAGGTCTTTTCGTCCCCATACACATCTCCTAAACGAAGGGAACTTGCCACTCTATCGCTATTTTTAAGCAAATTGTCACTTCATGATTGTGCCGCTTGGTGCCTGCCTGCCAACTTACCTAAAAAGTTATTAGGTTTTGTTGGTAGATCGAATTTTTTAATATAATGGATAGGAGAAATCGCACTTTTGGTCCCTCAATTGTTGCCCGATCTGCAATGTGGTCCCTCACTATCAATTTCACTCAATTGGGTCCCTATTTGTTGTAAAACGTAGTCTATTTGGCCCCCCGGTTAAATTTCCCTCAAACTATAGTTAAAACCATGGATAGAAATGTAAATTCACAATGGCTTCCATTTACCCCTTTCCTTCATTTACGTTTACCCCCTTCCTTGACCACATTGACTCCGATAATTTTACTCCATTGCACACTTACAGTCTGATAACCCTAACCCCCAATCTAGCGATTTACTCCAATCTTCCATTATCCCCAGGCTTCGAAGAGGACGACGAGGCACGCACGAGCACCGGCATGACTAGTAGGAGGATTAATGGCTCCAATAAAACTCCTACGTGTAAGTATCTAAAACTCACATATGCTTTACTTTTATCAGAAAAGGTATTTTTTGTTCTCTTTCTGGAGATTAAAGCATGTGGAATGTGTTGGGTTCTGGAATTATTGCTTACTAGGGACCCATTCTACTTTAATAAATTTATATATTTGAACTTCAACCATTGGAGTATGTTTCTTTTTCGCATGTGCAAGGTTGGGTTTTGGGGGACCAGTTGTCTACTTTGTTGTACCCACATGGGGACCATATGGGGACCATAGTTAGTGTACTGATATTGAATGGACCAAACTGTACTTCTAGTTTATTGTGTTTGTATTTTACTGTGAATGGACCATGTTTGAAATTGTCTTTACTGTGAATGGACCATGTTTGTATTTCATCTAAACTGTTAAATTGTCTTTTAATTTGAAATTACTCCTTTATAGATGTTGGTGAGCATTCATCTGTGTTTACTATTAAACTGCATATTGGTGGTACTCTGGTTTTGAAGCCAAAAGTTGAATATAGGGATGGGTTTGAGGAGTATTTTGATCATTTTAACTGTGAAGAGGGAAGTCTATTGGATTTAAGGAGGATGGTTAAACAATTAAGGTTCTGTGATAAAAAGGCCCAATTTTGGGTTAAGGTTAAGGGTAGAAAAAATGTCAAAAAGATTGAAGTGAGAAAACTGAGCACAGATGCTGATATTGTAGTGCTTAGTTTAGAGGTTCCAAGAAACAAGGAGTTGGAAATTTATGTTGAACATCACTGTGATGATCAATGGGACTATGAAGTGCAGTTATCTAGGTCTTTGGGAGATGATGCACTATTGAGTGAGGACAGAGATGAGACAAGTGAACAACAATCTGAGAGGGAAGTGAATGGCCCAAATACTGTGTTTGAAGAAGTAGAGGTAGAAGTTAATGGTCCTGGACCAAGTAATAAGGGTGTGAACAATGCTGTTGATGTAGAAGTTTCTGATGTTGATTGTGTCATTTCTGAAGAAATTTTTAGGAGTTTAGCTGATTCTGATTCTGAGAGGGAGGTTAATGGTACTGAAATTGTCTTCCAAGAAAGATACCTGAAAAGAGAAGGGTTTAAGTTTGTTTTGGGAATGATTTTTAAATCTGCCTCTGAGTTTAAGTGGGCTGTAAAGTATCATGAGGCAATGAGAAGAAAGGATGTGAAATTTAAAAAGAATGAGGGCAGAAGAGTAAGGGTTTATTGTAGACACAATGACATATGTAGTTGGACAATCTTTGCCTCAAGGAGCGATCCTAGATGTCCATTTCAAATTAAGACATACAACCCTGAACACACATGTGGAGACCAAGATGAAAACAAAACTGTTAACTCAGGTTTCCTTGCTAGGTTATACAAAGATGATTTTAGACTGAATATGGATTGGGGTAGAAGACAGTTTCAAGAGCATGTGAAAGAGAAATTGCATTGTCAGGTCACAAAACATCAAGCTTATAGGGCTAAACATAAGGTTAGGAAGGAGCTGGATGGTCAAGATTGTGAGCAATTCAAGTTGTTGAATGATTACTGTGAGGAATTAAAGAGAAGCAATCCTGGGACAACTGTGAAGATGAAGCAAGACAGTGAGTTTAGTGTTAATGGGAGACCTAGGTTTCTTAGATTATACATTTGCTTTGCAGCTTGCAAAGAAGGGTTTCTTAGAGGTTGTAGACCTTTTTTTGGGTTGGATGGCTGCCATTTGAAGGATAGTCAAAAGGGTGGGCAACTTTTAACTGTTGTTGGTGTTGATGGTGATAACTGCATGTTTCCAATATCATTTGCTGTTGTTGAGGGAGAATTGAAGGATAGTTGGAAATGGTTCTTAGAGCTGCTTGACAATGATTTAAACATTTCAAGTAATCCTCATGCATGGACAATTATATCTGATAAACAAAAGGGCTTGTTACCAGCTGTGGATGAGTTGTTTCCTGGACTAGAACATAGGTTTTGTGTAAGGCATATGCATGCTAACTTTCTCAAGGATGGTTTTACTGGAAATGTGTTGAAGCTGAAATTGTGGGCTGTGTGTAAAAGCACAACAGAGGCAGATTTTAAAAGGCTTATGGATGAGTTAAAGGAAGAAGATCAGAAAGCTGCTGAGTGGTTGGCTGCCAGAGAACCTAGTCACTACTGTAGGGCTTTTTTTAGCACATTTCCAAAGACAGATATGCTACTGAACAACTTGTGTGAGAGCTGGAATAACACTATACTGAGTTTTAGGGACAAGCCTATCCTCACAATGTGTGATAAGATTAGGATATATCTTATGACTATAATGCAGAAAAATAGAGACAAAATGAAGACATATCCACATAAGATTTGTCCCAAAATTATGAAATGTCTTGAAGAGGCAAAGGATAAGGCAGCTAGGTATAATACTTACAAGGCACATGATAACATCTATCAAGTTGATGATCAGAACTTCAAGTCTTTCAAGGTGGATTTAGCCCAAAGACAGTGCAGTTGTAGAGCCTGGGATCTCACTGGAATTCCTTGCAGTCATGCAGTAGCTGCTATAAGAAAGCAGAGGCAAAGCCCTGAAGATTATGTACATCAATACTATTCAGTTGAGAGTTATTTGAGAGCTTATGAGCCTGCTATACTTCCCATTCAATCTTCAGACTTATGGCAGAAAATAGATCTTCCAGCACCACTACCACCTAAATATAAATCACAACCTGGTAGGCCTAAGAAAAAGAGAAAGATAGACCCAGTTCAAGAGAGCAAGCAACAAAAGACTCAAGTCAGAACAAAGAAACTAGGGGAGGTGAAGAGGTGCAGAGTATGTGGACTGACTGGGCACAATAAGACTACTTGCAAGGCTAAAAATCCACAGGTAATATGTGATAGTTAGTCTAACATTTCATTTGTATTATTTGACAGTTATATCTAATATTATTATCATGTAGGTATCTCAAATGGCTGAAGATATTGATTTGGAAAATCAGCATGTTGATGGTCAAGGTGATATAGAAGGACAGTTTGAAGACATCCCAGTTGAAACACAAGTCCCCTCATTTGTGCTTAATGATATGGTAATTGAATTTTCAAGATATAGGTTGCTTTTTTACATATTCTTTTAACTTACTGACCACTTGTTTGTATAAGAATCTCAAGAGGTAATGGGATCTCAGACTTCACAACCACATCAGAACCAGGTGGCACAACAGTCTAGTTTTATTGCTGCACAAGTCCATGCTTCAAGTGTTGCTGACAAGAACAAATCAGCTCAGAGAGTAATAACTCTAAATGAACTTCAGAAATTGGCCAAGAGAAAAAACTAATGTATGTGAGCATAAGGGAACAAAGTAATATTGTGTATGTTTTTTTTGTATGTTTTTGCTAAACAAGCAAGGTGTCATGGTGTAGCTCACTTAGTTGTCATGTTCTTTTCAAGTGGCCAAGTGGTTTTGCAGAATTGGTCATTTGATATTTTTGCTATTTTTGTATGTTTCTGGTAGGCTATTTCACAATGAAAGCCTATCCTAAAAATGTCAGTAGATACATTTGGCATTTGCAAACTATAAATGTTCCTTGCTTGCTTGAAATTGCTAAAATGAATGTATTTTGCTCATTTGGTTATGTATACAGTTAGACCTTAACAGTTGTAGCAAATTCATACCCAACAGGTTCATATTCTGCAAGTTCATATCCAGTTTAGGCAATGAACATATCCACAGCTTCATATCCAACAGGTTCGGCAATGAACATATCCACATCTTCATAGCACTTAACAGACAATGAACATATTCACATAACAGATTTCACCTTAGGCAATGAACATATCCACAACTTCATATCCAACAGCTTAGGCAATGAACATATCCACAACTTCATATCCAACAGCTTAGGCAATGAACATATTCACATAACATTAGAATATCTAGGTTCATAACAGGTTCATAGCACTTAACAGAAAATAGCATTAGCACTAGAATAATCCATTATAATACACTCCAAATCCATAAACCATAATCCAGCAGGTACATAGTTCATTAATCCAAAACATAATTCATTAACAGTAAGCTGCCAGGTACATAGTTTCTAGTTCTACTGGACTAGCCTACCACAATTGGATCAACACTTCTCATCCAAAGCTTGAAAGAAAGAAAACCTACAATAATTCCAAATCCAAAACCATAAAAAAATTTAAATTTTGAAGCAAGACTCTTCTTCTTAAGCTTGACATTTTTCTCATCAATCACTGCTTGAAGCCTTTGCATTTCACTCTCTTGCTTATCTAACCTCTTCAATAGACCTCGAATCACTTTGGACACACGCTCAGATACATCACAGTCCAACCATTGAAAATACCTACAGTTTTCATTCCCCTGCAATTCAAAATCAATAAACAAATCGAAATTTAAAACTCAAACACCTAAGAACAGCAAACT